GATATTTTCCGTAATACAGAGATAGATCAATGTCCACGTTAGACTCCTTTCCGTTCTCTCCGATTCCTTTTCTTGCACGTTTTTCAAGTGTCAATCACGAGACTCGACTCAGACCTCGCAGGTCAAACCAGCTCCAGTCCCTAACTTATTTACAACACCGTTGATTGATCACTCATAAAACGTTCTACACTCATCCGAAATCATCGAGAAGCCCATACTCCACAATACGACGTCTCAAAGTCTACCTTGAAAAGAAACCTTTGAGCTATTTTTGTCCATGTGACACCTGACGATCTTTGGTGCAGAAAAAAAAGAAAGAAAAGTATTCAGAGAGGAAGCCACATCAGCCTTAGCTGGTTTTCATGTAGGTCCTCTATCCTGGTCGAATTGGAGATGCTGTTTTTTGTGGAGGGAGGAAAACCGGAGAACCTGGAGGAAAACCCTCGGAGCAAGGCAAGAACCAACAACAAACTCAACCCATGGCCACGTATGGCACCGCGGGGCCTAAAATCGAGCCGGGGTCAAACTGGTGGGAGGCGAGGGCTCCCACCACTGCGCCATCTCCGCTCCCTAAGAACTACCTCCGATATTGAATATCCAGTTCGGAAGACCTCAGCGCTGGTCACATACACTGCGAGGCTTGTGCAGTTTGGTGAGTCGTGTTGTATCCATCGTCCATGCAAAAGACATATATTTCCCATTCATTCAATACTGCGCTATGATACTGACGAAAGGCAGTACTTGCTGGAGAGCTACAATAAGATACTCGAGCCTTATTTGGATGTTCTCTCTCAATCCTACTTCCGCGGTGTTCTATTCCCGATTGCACTCTTGTAGGAGATCGAAAGTCCCTGCCAATGTAACATTTGTGTTTGGGGTCTTTGGTCTTTGTTCTACCCCTTCATGACAAGCCATTGCGTTCAGAAATTATAGAGCGGGAGCTGGGACCTAATGATGCGCAAAGGCGGTGAGCAGAAAATGTTGAATGAATATTGCACTGTGTGGGACCAATAGTTTTCGATCTTGAATGTGAATGAATATAAACCGTTGAATGTGAATGAATACATCCCGTAAATGTGAGTAAATATATTCGCGAATAAGAAATACGTCGTTTAATGTGAATTAATTATTTCTTGAATATAAATGTAGTTGTTGAATGTGAATAAAGATATTCGTGAATAATAATAACAGCATTAAATGTGAATAATTATAAACTTTCTGAATTTTGCACCATTTGGCCAACTATACATCACAAGTCTTCCGTAATAGGCCACTTTCGATATATTAAAATTCAGCTTGATAGTGAGGCCTAGAGGACACAAACAAAAGAAATGAATAAACATGGTCATTCAGTTTCCTTTCTTTGTGTCCTCTAAGCCTCGCTGCCAAGCTGAATTTTAATATACCGAAAGTGGTCTCTTTTGTTTGTCAATCGATTGCATCTTGTGTTCGGGTTCTAACATCGTCAAATTTATGTTTGCCACAAATTTCAGGGTGGTCCATTTAGGGTAGTCCATAGGTAGTCCATTCAAGTAGTCCATGGCCCAGGTCCATCGGGTAGTCCATGGACTAGGATTCAGCAGAATGT